ATTCTTTGCCCAAAGTTCTGTTCCTTTCTTTTCGGGAAGATTGGATAAATTCGATTAAAAATATATTGAAGTGAAATTGAATGTCCGGAATAGCACAAGTCTAAATTCTCGCGCGACACGAGGAGTAGTAACTCACGCTTTTCTCTTCCCACGTGACAGTCCCAACAAGTCCGAGTTTAGCATCCGGATTAGGGTTAAATCCGGCCGCCTTACCGCACCTTCTGAGCAACAGCTCGGCCAGCCAGCAACTTCTGAGCGCGATGCAGCCTCAGCAACTGCTCCAGGCCGCGCAGGCGGCTCAGGCTCAAGCGGCACAAGCGGTCCAAGCTGCACAGGCCTCTCAACAACCGCTTCTGACCACCTCGCCCCAGCAGCACGGTCATCGACACACCTCTCATATGAATCATTACACGGTAAGTAGATCCTTGACCGCGAAATAATTTAAACCTCTCCACGCGCGTAATCATCCCCAACCAACCATCCTCCATCTTACGAAAACGATACGATTATTCCCATCGATAATTGGATTATCGCTTTGAATACCGTCAACGAACATCCTATTAATAGACCGTTGTCGATAATTTAATCAATCGCCTATACATATTTTTAGCGAAATCGTTTCCATCCCGCGAAACCTCGTGTTCGATCAGCCTTTGTTAAGAATTCAACGAAACGTGTCCGACAGATATTACTCCATCCTCGAGAAAAAAATCCCGCTCTGTGTTTAAACACGAAATGGGGGAAAGAGGGGGGAGGGATTACGTTCGATAATCGTCGATCGGCAATCGATACCTGTTGTCATGTTAAATTTAAACAATTTCTTTTTTTTCTTTTTCTTTTTTTTTTTTTTTTAAATTAAACCACATTTCCCCGGATTATTTTAAAATTACCCCGACAATACGTTCCACAGAAGTAGGTTTCGTCCCCCCTCCCTTGCCCATTCTCATTCCCTTCGACAAACTGTTACGCGATCGATTTTTCCCCTCGACGTTTCCCCTCGTTTCCTTCAATTATTATCCAACGGGGAGGAGGGGAATTGCGTCGAATCGAAGGATACTTTTCCGATTTCTATAATTGACTAACACCGGATCCGGGTACTCGATATACACGATGCGATGATCTAACTGTGACCATGCTCGATATTTGTTGCGAGTATCGAGAAATGTATCGAGGAAAATCGCGAGTCGAAAGGGAAGAGGAAAAGGCTTGACCGTCGCAGGATCGGCCGAACAAGCGGAATAATTCGCCGATAGCAAGCGATCTCGTTAAGAAAGTATTCGCCGGGCGGCACTTTTCTTCCACTAATTAGAGTTTAAAGTGTTTCGATCTTGGATGGGGAGGGAGGAGGGGGAGTTGAAAGAAGGAGGGTCTCATTATTAAGTGTATAATTGGCGTGGGGGGGAGAGAAGAGGGGATGGGTATCGTTGATACCGCGATCGAGCTTACTAATCCGTTACTACTGTTGCGTGTCCCTCGCAGCCGACGGAGAAACATCACAGAGAGAGGCCCGAGCAGTCGTCGCCTTTGAACGAGTCCGTGGTATCCGCAGCCTCGGCCCTGAACAGACTGGCGGCCAGCAACGGGGAAATAACGATCACGACCACGCATGGACCTAGTGGAGCCGGGGTGAAGGCGAGTGTCACGCCGAGCAGCATGCACAATCCTAAGAAGGAGGAGGAGGATCTCAATGATTCGCCTAGTAAGATCATTTTTATTCAGTTTTTTTATTTCTTTTTTTTTTTTTGATAGGTTTTAAGGTTTTGCGAATGAAGATATTTTTTTTAGAGACTGTGGAGTAGAAAGATGGTTTGGTGAGCAGAGAAAGTATCATTCTTGAATTTGAAATAGATTGTTGATGTATTGTTTTATTGTAATGAGAATAGTGTTTAGACTGGTTTAAAAATTTTTTATTTAAATTTTGGATGGAGAGAAACTAGTAGAGAGAGGTTAAATAATATTTGAAAAAAATTATTCTTGGATTTGGAATGATATGATATCTGAATAGTTTACATAGATTCAGTAATTTCCGAAAAGAATCTTTTAATCTTTTTAATTGTCTTGTTGACGATAGTCGGGCGATAGTGGCGCCATCAACTCTTTATATATTTACAAGAATATATTTAGAATTCATATAGGTATATTTAACATTTATCGATTTCATCGCTTTATCTTATTTTAGTCCATGTTCCAGAATTAGCAAAACTATTAAATTATTAATAATATTTAACCATTCAGACATTATTTATCGATTCCATCCAATTTTTATTTCATCTTATAGAATTTCAAATCGAACAGACAAATCAAATAAACGATTTAAACGAATGTGAAACGGATAAAGACGAGATAATGAATATTTTTAAATAATATCTCCAATAATCAAGAATACATTTCGAGAAGTAAGAATCGATCGACAACTCGAAAACGTCTCAATGCAAATTATTACAATATATTACGCTCCAGATAATTACGTAGATAAGAATCTAATATTTAGAAAATTTTCTCACACGGCGCTGCATAAAAATTCAACGGGATCTTTCCGATTCTTTCTCGTTGCCTCGAATCACGTTTCCTTCCCTTCTGCCTGGGTTCAACATTTAACGCACGGTCAAAGCCGATAAATAATAACGTTGGCGGCGTCCGTCCGCGCCTCGAAGCTCTTAATAATCCTAATAGGATATCGTACAATGCACGGCTCATTACGGTGTATTAGATCGTATGCTCTCTCCCGCTGCCTTCTGGGAAGCCATAAAGATTCCGTGTACGGTGCACGTAACCCCTCGACAAGTCGGCCAGACAATAATTTTAATAATTCACAATCATTGCTCAGGCTGTGGCACTTCGTCATTCCGCGGGACAACGATGATAATAATAATCGTTCGACGTATCGAGCCTAACGATTCTCAATTGCCGATGCCAACGTTACTCGATAAATCTAAGCTTTTGTTAACCAATCTCGCGCTGATCCTTGAGAGTCGATTCGTAAATTTAAGAGAGAGGCGTAGGATGAGGGGAGGGAGGAGGATGGTCGATTCGTTTATGATTCGTATGGATGGATAGAGAGGACAATGGGGAGTAAATTTGGAGGGAAGAGATCACGATCGACGAGCATTCACGTTGCTCGTTCACGCCCTTATTATCGAGTGTCTTTCTCGTTTGCTGGAAAAAAATGTCGCGAATCGCTCGTTAAGAACAATGAGGCTTCGAATTAGGATTGATTGCGGGTGATGAGAAATATTGAACGTGTCGATTTGATTAAAATAATGAGGATTAAAGTGACTTTCTTTTTTTTCTTTTTTTTGAAAAGATCGAGGTTTCGAGTAATTGAGGAATGAAAATTTTTCGCATTATAATATAAGAATATAAGATTATAAACGTTTACGTTACTTTTTATCTGCTGGTCGAGCACGTGGCGCCCTCTCTGAAAAAAAATGGCGCCCCTAAAAGAGTTAATAATCACTTTACGCACTCGGTCCTCTCCGAAGTAACATTGTCGAATGTTTTTCATACATTTTTTATAAATCATTATGTATAACCACCGTGAAAGTTTTTCAACAGAAATTGCATCTCTGTCACGAAACTTTAACGAATGCAAATGGAATTGAAGAGAAATTAAGTTATAACATTGCGCATGAACTGCTCGATTTCAGTATGTACAGTGATGTGTTATACTTTAATTAATTATTTTCAACGAAATTTGAAAGTTTCATTAAGAATTCGGCCATTCTATAGACCCATACAGCAAACTAACAAATATATCAAAGAACAATTTGAATGGAGAAATTATTGCAAATATTGAGATATTCCTAAAAAAAAAAAAAAAATATTACATCGAACACAATTTCTATCTACTTTATTAAATTCTTCGAGGGATTATACGCGTTTCTCGTTAAAAACACATTCGTGTAAACGTTCCTCACGTTCATCTTGATACGAAAATAACGGATTCTCTGTTGTACGAGCGGTACCGATTCGCGAAAATACTTGCGCATTCCTCGAAACGAGGCACTTCCTCGTTGCACGAGAAAGTCGTGGAGCATCGTCGTCGCGTTTTTGTCTGTGTTCCACGGACGAGGATCCCGCGTTCGATTGGAAATTAATGATCGCAGAGACGGCGGAGAGACGGAAGAAAGATTTGCGGTTTATTGCTCGGCGAAGAAAGCCGTTCAAACTGGCCGAGATTGTTGGCCACCTCTATTGCGTGCGTATGTACATACGTTCGGGGTGACAGATTTACGAGAGAAATCGGCGCGTTTGAAGCAGCTTTAACGAAGCCGGTATCATTAGATAGGCCTCTCGGTAGAACTTTGAGGCATTCCGGTCGATCGATCCGGAATTCGTTGGACAATTGCTCTTTGTCAAAACACTTTCTTCCAAGGATCGTAGATCTTCTTAAGAGAATCAGTAAGGGTAATGGATGAGAGTAAAAGTATTCTTTGAGAAAGGTATTCTTGAGAAATGAATCGAGTGGAATATTTTATTAGACAATCCTCTTTCTAGAAAATCGTTCTAGCTTTTAATCAAACATAATTGAAAATAATTGACGATCTTTATTCTGGAGTGTATTTTTTGATTCGAGATTTGCTCGTTCTAAGAAATTAATTAAATGAACATTTTCATTAAATTATATTTTTTATGAATTCTCTCGAAAATTTCAATCTCTCGAATATATGTATATTTCTTTTTGGCAAATATATTTTTCGAAGAACGATTAAAGAATCAGAAAACAATCTGAATCTCATGATTGTAATATCATATCGATTTCCTCAATTTTAAATCCCACCAAAGGAAAGATTCTACTAATTACAGATCAACCGACGATCAACGAGGCCACGAACAACGTAGTCGACGGGATAAATCTGGACGAGATCAAGGAATTCGCTAAGGTGTTCAAGTTTCGCAGATTGTCGCTGGGTCTGACGCAGACCCAGGTGGGACAGGCCCTGAGCGTGACAGAGGGGCCAGCTTACAGCCAAAGTGCCATATGCAGGTGAGTGTGCGACACCTCGTCGTCTTTCCTTTCGTCATTTTAGTTTTTTTATCTTCATCTTGTACTTGTCACGAATATTTCATACGGACGTCGCTGATGAGACACAGAAAAAAAAAAAAAAAGAAAAAAAAGAAAGGACGATGAAATTAGATTGATATACGACAATGTGCCAGGTCACTGGAAATGGCCAAAAAAAAAAAAAAAAAGAAAGAGGGATGGTTCCCTGTTTTTGGCTGCTAACAATCTGTGTACATTTCTAGACCACGCTGAATCTCGATGATGTCTTCTTCCATTTAAAGAAGTCGGGGCTAAGGGACACTCGTTCAAAGTTCCTCCAAGGACCAACTCTTTTTACTCCGCCCTATGTCCAAATTAAATTGGTCATTCGATTTATTGCATTAATTCTTTAAGCTCTGTTAATCTGTATCTTTATCCTGCCTATATCTACCTCGTGTTTTCCAATTTTATGGATCATTCTAAGAAGAAGAAGAAAAAGAAGAAGGAAATTTCGTCGTTGAAATTAGCATTCGATCTGGTTCTAAATAACCAATTGATTTTGGACATAGCGCTATCGCGAGAATTAGCCATGTTGTGTACCTTGATCGCGTTTCTTCGAGTATATTCCGAGAGAGAAAAACGTCGTTGAATTTTCATGTGTAATGTGTAATCTGCCACGGTGGTTCCTGAAACACGTGTTTCGTTCGAACGTTGATTTTGATATGAGATCATACATCCCTGTTCTCTCACCTAGTTTGTTAAGAGATAAGATTTGTTCGAGATCCGGAAGGAACCACGGTGGTAGTGCTGGTGGCAAGTAGAAACGATGTTTCTACACCCTAGTATTGTTATCGTAACGACTAATTTAAGCATTGGTGATTGTTCCCCAGTGCCCTGGCTACCCAGATGTACGCTGCCTCGCAGATTGCCTCTCAGCAGCAAGCTACGTACGTTCACCCCTCATGCTACTTAATTTACCTAAAAATCTAAAACTTTTTCAAATCCTTCTGGAAGCATAGCAGTTATACCCAAGCATGTGAATCCGTACATTTGGTTATCGTCGTGTGCGAGAGTAGCTCAGAGTATCATCATGTTCTCAAAAAATCTTCGATTCTTCAAGGCTTGTTGAAATTAATATATATATATATATCTTTCTTGTAATATTGAACGACAAGCGAGACACGAGTGTACACGTGCATAATATATGAACTTACATTATCTCTTTCTCTCTATCGCCCTTGATCTTTCTTCTATTTTTCTCTCAATGTATGTCGACTTTCTCCGTTTCATTCCTCGGTGTTTCGTTAAATTCGAACGATTATATCGCTTCGAACACGTCTTTAATATCAATTTTGGGGCATATTTGGGTATAGCTGCAATATCGCTATCACTAATTTCTAACTCCGTTTCTGGCAATGAAAGAAAAAAAAAAAAAAAAAAGAAAAAAGAGAGAGAGAAAAGAAAAAGAGAATGAAAAAGATTAAAATGAGATGCGAAAGGAGCACTTGTGAAATTTGTTAACGATTTCTTCGAGCCAGGGCATTGGCAAACTTGGGCATGATGTCGCCAACGCGTGAGTACACGTAAAAAAAAAAAAAAAATCGCGAAGATCGGCGTCCGGCGATGAGAGGGTGTTCCTATTTTTTTTTTTTTTACGGGTACTCACGCGTTGGCGACATCATCCCCAAGTTTCCCACTCCCCCGGCCCGAAGAAATCGTTAACTAATTTCACAAGGTCTCCTTTCGCCTCTCCTTTTAATCTTTTTCTTTCTCTTTTTCTTTTCTCTCTCTCTTTTTTCTTTTTTTTTTTCTTTTTAAAATTTTTTTTTCTTTTTAAAATTTTTTTTTCTTTTTAAAATTTTTTTTTCTTTTTAAAATTTTTTTTTCTTTTTAAAATTTTTTTTTTTTTTTGGACGATCTTCGTTTCTTTTTTTATTTCTTTTTAAAATTTTTTTTTTCTTTTTGTCTAAATTGATCACTCGATCTTTGTATACAATTACTTTGGTATACGCTCGTCGTTTATACGCAGAAGAACACTAGCTCTCGAAGCGCGTTGGCAACATCATACACGGCATCACCAAAACCTTTAAGCATGCACGCATTGTCAATGTCCTGTTTTTGAGTCAATGCATGCTTTTTTTAGTGCTCCTTTAGTCGAACAAAGACGCAAAGAATTTTTTCATAATTCCATCTTCTCGTTCGAAGTAACAGTTCGTATCTTGAGATTCAAAAAAAATTGAGAAATATCGAGATCGGGAGAAAGGATCTTTACGTCTTTGACGATTGAAATTTCTTTCTTCACGAGTATAATATTTCTATATGCGATATGGAATCGGAGAACGTGAATCATAAATTGTTGTTGGCTCTAGATTCGAAAAATTGGACATCACGCCAAAAAGTGCGCAAAAGATTAAACCGGTCCTCGAAAGGTGGATGAAAGAGGCTGAAGAAAGGTGAGTTGTTATTTTTAGAATATCAAATTTCGATTTCAATCCGTTCCATTATATGTAATGAGCGTTAATACACGTAGAAGATATCGTGTGTTCAAAGAGAACGTTATTAGATACGAATAATTTAAAATCATAAATATCACGAACACGATTGTAAAACACGTTGCACGTAACAATTTTCTTTGAAGTTTCTAACTATCCATCACATGTTCCTGATATCTAAATTGCCTATCTATTTAAATTACAAGTTTTCCATTTGATCAAATGAAATATTCTCTTTAAAAGTATTCTAAGAAGAAAAACAAAATTATTCGTATTTAAGATGTTTAAAATACAAACTATTCTTAACTTCTCTATGAAAAATCAAATCTTTCCTTCTTTCAAAAATGCAAAAAAGAAATTCAGAATGAACATGTTCAAAGTTTACTTTATCGTGCAAATCTCGAACCAAATTTCAAACTATCATACTTTCTTTCAAAGAAATGAAAGAAATTCAGAATGAAAAGAAATTCGTTCAAAAATTATTTCATCGTTCGAAAATCAACCATTCGTCGCCTCGAACCAAATCTTAAACTATGTTCAAACTTCGTCAAACCATTTTTCGATTTTATCAAAAAAATCAAACTTTTTCTTTTCTCCAAAAACAGAAATTCAGAACGTTTTATTCAAAATTTATATTTCAAGATCGTTATATTATCAAGATCGTTTGTCCCAACTTAAAATTTCCGTTTGGACAAATTTTACGATTATCCAACATCGTCCAACATCCAGGATCTCAAGCGGTGTCCGAGACCGTGTGAACGCGTGCGTGCTAATTGGTAATTCGCTAATTGAATCTGCCTGATTAATTGCGGATCCGCGTCTAATAAATACGCGGAATGTTAATTAGAATGGGGGAAACCGTTACCGCGCGCCTCTCCACACTGGTACAGGTACCGCCGGTTTTATTCGTGTCGCGAAAGAAGTCGCCTATCGGCCTCTCTCCTTCGAGGTATCGGTTTTGCCGCCGCGCACCGACACACACCGCCACACCTACACAAACCGCCGATTTTTCTGCCAACGGTGTATCAGGATTCGTAATTAGCGAAATTCAAAGTTTAATTCATCGCTCGAATCGTTCGATTGTCGATACACAAACAACAACGGCCTCATAACGATACACAACGACCGTACTGGCTGGATTTATATACCTGCAATTGGAAATTCTCGCGAAGTTTTCGGTGTAACGTGTTTCATCATCATTCTTCGGCCCCTTGTATGGATTTTAATTTTTTCCAGCGTGGAAAAAGTTTGGCCTTGTTGTTTGAATCGAAAGTTAGGTTTGCGCGGAATTTGGAACGCTCGGAGTGTATCGGAGTTTGCGAAAGATTGGATAAGTTTCTACAGGGTAAATGGAATTTTTGTGTTTTATCGTGGAAAAGAATTTTATTTTCCGCGCATGCGGATTTTTTTTCTCTTTTCAATGTTCAAAACGGAAGGCTTCAAACCCTATTAGCGAGCGTTTCTTGAAAAAAATTGGAAAAATTTTCGAATTTCGCGAAGGGTGAAAATATTTGAATTAAACAAAACAATCGTAATATTCCAACTTTTCGAAAATTTTGAAAAAATTTAACTTACACGATTTCTTTAATCCAAAGAGAAATTTATTTCAAGGATATGTACAATGATTCCTTTCCGATTGATTTTCAATCCAAACCATCGATTTCACGTTTAAATATTCATAAATTAAAAAATCCACAATGATTATTACATATCATAAATCTATCTATTTCCACTATTCTGTCTTACACGGATATCCATGTTAACTCGATGAAGAATCGTCATTTAATCGATACCGGAATCTAAGAGCGTCAATCGGTCGAATTTTACGAGTCGGTGACGCCTAACACGGTTTATGGTTTCAATTTCACCGCGATACCGTTTCATTATTGCCGGCAAAAGCGTGGAAAATACACACATATATTTATATACACACATGTACGCGTGTTATATGCAAAAAATATATATATAAATACGTACAGAGATGGATACGTGTTATAAAACGTGTGTATACGTGTGTACGTATATCGGGTAGCGTATCGAGGTGCGCGGCATGTATCTCGACCGTGAACCGGATGATTCGATGACAGGAGCACGCGGTCATTTCTCTTTCCGCGACCGAGCCGGCAACAATGACCCATTCCGCATTCCCGCGGCGTAGCATCAACAGATTTTCCCAAAACGAACAAAATGATTTGTTGACTGTGCATTAACACCTTCGCGCCGGCGAAACAGCGAATCATCCCGCCCGTTATTGGCCCGGAACCGTTTTTCCCCATTTAATGATTCGTTCCTTGATTACTCGTTCGCTTCGAAACGAAAAGCGAAAGTTGTCAACATTTTCCCTTGTTGATCCTTTTGTTTTTTTTTCTTTTTTTTCTTTTTTTCTTTTTTCCTTTTTTTCTTTTTTTTTTTTTTTTT